GATGTGAGCTCACTGCCCAGAAGCCAACTGTGTCCTGGGCTGCACCCCCACCAGCATGGGCAGCAGGGCGAGGGGGGATTCTGCCCCTCTCCTCTGGGGAGACCCCCCTGCAGTGCTGGGGCAGCTCTGGAGTCCTCAGCACAGCAGAGCCAGGGACCTGCTGGAGCGGGGCCAGAGGAGCCCCAGCAATGCCCCGAGGGGGGAACCCCTCTGCTGGGAGCCCAGCAGGAGAGAGTTGGGCTGGGGCAGCCCAGCATGGGCAGCAGGGCGAGGGGGGATTCTGCCCCTCTCCTCTGGGGAGACCCCCCTGCAGTGCTGGGGCAGCTCTGGAGTCCTCAGCACAGCAGAGCCAGGGACCTGCTGGAGCGGGGCCAGAGGAGCCCCAGCAATGCCCCGAGGGGGGAACCCCTCTGCTGGGAGCCCAGCAGGAGAGAGTTGGGCTGGGGCAGCTGAGAGGAGGAAGCTCTGGAGAGACATTCTGGTGGCCTTTCAGGACTTAAAGTGGCCCATGAGAAAGCTGGGGACAGACTTTTTAGCAGGGCCTGTTGGGACAGGACAAGGGGTGATGGTTTTAAACTAGAAGAGGGAGATTTAGACTAGAGAGAAGGAAGAAATTTTTTATGCTGAGGGTGGTGAGCCCCTGGCCCAGGCTGCCCAGAGAGGTGGTCGCTGCCCCATCCCTGGAACCATTCCAGGTGAGGTTGGATGGGGCTCTGAGCAACCTGCTGTAGCTGCAGATGCCTCTGCAGGGGAGTTGGACATTGGACTAGGTGATCTTTAAAGGATCCTTCCAACCCAAATCATTCTATGATCTGTGTGAAGCTTCTTGTCAGATGCTTTCAAGAATGACAAAGAATTTTAGACTCCAATTTTCATACTTAACAGACCACACTGGTGCTGACAGTACCTGCTGGCAGCAATCTCTCAGATGGCAACAGGAAAAAAAAACAACACAAAAACCCCAGAAGAATGCTTTGCCAAACCAGGCTTGACAAATGCTAAAAACATGCTGGAGGAGGCAATCTGGGTGAGTGTGCAGGTGGCATCATGTCCCTCAGCAGGGATCTGCTCCCAGAACTGTGATGTAGCTGTGGCTGCACACTCCACTTGTGGGATGCTGCCATACTCACGTGTGGTCTGCTAAAAAAATCTTAAAACCTGTCCCTTTGCTGCTAATTAAAGAATTAATCTGGTTTTTTTTTATCTTCTGCCTGCTCGTTTGGTTCTGCAGTGAACTCATCCCAAAGAGAGCTGTGAGCTCCCATCCCCTGCCTGTGTTTGTGGGAAGCTGAGGGACCTGGTTTGTGTTCCCAGGGCTTTGTTTGCGGTGCTCCTCCGCGCTGGGATCTGCCCTTGAATTTCTTCCTCTCCGGGCTCTCAGCCTTCCAAAGACTCATCGGTGAGAGAAGCAGGCGGGATCCCGGAGGGCCTGGCTGGCGCGGGTCGTTCCTGGGCCCCTCCTGGCAGGGCTGCAGCTCAGTGCCACCTCCTGGAAGCCGGGCACCAGCTGCTCCCGGCACACAGCACCTCCTGAGGCAGCTTGTGCTGCTGCTCGGCCCCCGCTGCCAATTGCCCCAAAGTTTATCTGCTGGTCCACCAACAGTTCCCCCCCGCCCCAAACTTCTCTTTCTCTAGCAGGGACAAAGGGTGTGGCGGCCGCGCAGCCCCCCCCCAAAATGCTCACCCTCACCCCCGGGGTGCCCTGTGGCAGAACACCCCTGTGCGGCTCTTTCCCACTCTGGATGCCAGGTACAAACCTCTAGGTAGAAAGAAACAGCAGAAGAGCACAAATGAACATCTATAGATGTTGCTCCTCAGCTTTGGTTATGCTTGGCACCAGTTCCCTGCTCCGCTGAATGCCCCAAGTATACGTTCACCCTGTAAGCCCCCTGTTTACCTCTTCCTCCTGGTCTTGACTTTAAGGGACATTTTTTCTCTCTTCCTCCCCAAGTTTGATGACCTTGTCATGAACAACAAGCAAGCCCCTCATCACTGTGCTCACCTCATATTTAAAATATTGCTACATCTTTTTAAGGAGACAAAAATGTGTATGCGGAACTCACACCTGAGTGGCACTGGCTTGACTAAGCTCTCTATGAATTCTGAAAAGACAAGAAAAATGGGTGGTTCCAATGGCAACACGTTTACTCCTATGAAACAGTAACAGCTTAAGTGCTTAGTCACTGAAAAAAAAAACAATTTAAAGCCAAAGGCTGGTACTCTTCCATCATCTGAGGCTATTGTGAGCACTTGGGAGATTAGTCGACTTCAGTAATCTGTCATACCCAATGAAGTAACTAGTGCTCCAAGTCAAGGCTCCAAAAGGTGTTACTTGAAAAAGACCATAATTATGTAAATACAAGGCCACAAAGTTCACAAACAGGAGAAAAAGCTGTGCTGACAGGTGGCTATTCACAGCTTGCTTTGGCCCCTCCATGGAATCACATTCCAAACTTGCCATGAACTCACTTTTCCCCCAGAGCAGAGCGATGGCCTGAAACAGCCTGTTTACCAAAACCATATTTTTTATTAAAATTCATATTTGTAAAGGAGAGATCATTACACAAATGAGGTAAACCAACACATATTACAGTCTTCACTTTAAAAATAAATTTCAGTTGAGCAATTGATTTGATTCCACAAAGTCTTGGAAGAGTCAGGCAAGCGTTACTCACGCAGCGAGGTGCTGGGCAAGGCAGGAGGACGCAGCTGATGCTGCCCTGACTCAGCACAGAGCTCTCAGTGCCAGGGGGTCTGGAGTCTTCCAGGGCCTGAAACCTCACCGTGCTGTCCTTTCCTCCCCCTTGGCCTTGGAGTCAGGAGGAGATGAGTAACAGACAGAGAGGAGAAGTGGCAGCCTCTCCACCCGCTGCTCCAACCAGGCTTCCCTCAGCAGCATCCCCCCCCAAAAACTGTGTAAAGGTTTAATTTGATCGTGCAAATTCACTCCCTCGTCGGTTGTTGCTCACCACATCTCAGCCCTACAGGAGACTTACTAGCAAGCAAACACCAGCTCTGAAAAAACTGCATTTCAAAAGTATATCTGGCAAGCAACAAGCCCGTTAAATGTGACACGCTGCAAGGTACAGTGAGAAGAAGAGTTATGCTCCCTTCTTTCTCCTTTTCTTTTTTTAAGTTTGCTTCCATGCATGTACAAGTGGAGCTTCTCATCTTAAAGTTTATGAAGTTACTGCAAGTCTGTGAGAATCCCATTGTGAAATTAAACTTTCTCACTGAGGACCAAGCCCCAGAGCCTGAACGCCTCAAAGAGAAAAGTGGCTGCAGATGTTGTTTTACCCTGTAGAATGGTAAGAAAACAGGGAGGGGAACCTCAGGCCCTGTTCTGGGAACACCACTCCAAGGCAGCTCGTAGACTAGGAACAGCTGTGCTTGCTGCCAGCTCCTGACTGGTACAGAACCACCACCACTGCCACCAGCAGAACCAAAGCACACTCCTGAACTCACTCCCTTAAATCAGGGGCTGACAAACTCCTAAATGCTGGGAATTCCTGCGTGGCTGAAGCTCTGCAGTCCAGGTCCACTTTGATGGATGAAGGTATTATGGTGACAGACTATGCAGAGGAGAGAGAGAAGGAATTTCTCTTGTTACACCCAAGTGAAACTCATCCAGGCCCTTGTGTATTAACTACGTCGAGACAGCTGATAAGTTATTTCAGATACATATCCCAGGACAGCATCTGGTAACCAACACATGAATTTTTCATTACATCTGCCAAGTTTCTAGTGAGATTTGATGACCCCACACAGCTAGAACACGAGGTGAAGGCACCATTTTAACCCCATTTATATCCTCAGGGGATGCAGGTGGGATTCAAACGGCACGCAGGCTGGCTGCTGGGCTGCACGGGCTGGGTGTCATCCTGCAGGAGCTGCACCCGTGGCTCTCGGGGCAGGGAGAAGGTTCCACCACATCCAGAACCAGGCTGCAGGGATGGCACCTCGGCTGCCGCAGGGCTGGGATACTGCAGCAAGACTTGCCGTGTAAGGAGCCAGTTAAAGGCTACAGATCTTGAGAGAGCAACAGAGAGGTGTCACTCCTGGCAGAGTTTTTTTTTCCAAACAAATAAAAAAATAACTGTCTTCTTTTTTTCTTTAATAAATCTATTCTTTGAGGAACTAAAGCAACCGATGTTAAGTTCCTGGTTTATGGTACATCCTGCCAGGGCTCTGCATGACGGGTCTGAAAAAGCAGATTAGATTCAGATTAGCAGAGAAAGCAAGCTGCTTAGGCTCAGCCAGACTCCAAGGGGAGCCCTTGCACACTGACACCCGCTAGCACCCCTTGCTCCCTGCATCCACGGGCAGCACAGGCAGGTTTTTTTCCAGAAAAGCCATCCCCTCGCCGTTTCTTTCACTGGATCATGCTGTCTTGCTGCCCTGTCTGGCTGGGGTCAGTGGTGACCGACGGGCTGGGCGTATTGCTCTGCAAAAATCGACGGAAATCCTTAATCATGGGGCGGAGGACCTGGATGAGGGCACTGAGCGCCGCCTGCGTGCCCTCCATGGCCTGGGCCTGGCGCTCCTGGGCGCACGCCTGCACCTCCTGCGAGCGGCGGATCATCTGCAGCAGGTCGTTCTGCTGCTCCAGGTGCTGGGCGATCTCCTTCACGTGCAAGTTGGTGACTCGCTGCTCCTGCAGGAGCTTGGCCGAGTTGAGGGCGATGCGGCTTTTCAGCTCCTGGGGCTTGGCAGACACCTCGTGCTGATGGGCCATCATCTCCAAGGGTGCTTCGGCGCTGACGGCCGCGGGGGCTTCCGTCGTGCAGTACTCCACCACTCCGTCCTCCAGGCTGTGGTAGGCTGTCTCTGCAGGAACTGAGGACAAAGGACAGAAAGGGGGTGAGAAGGAGCAGCGACATGGGGATTTTTATCTACAGGACTATTCAATGACTATGACGGGAATACTGCCTGGCCAGTGAGATAACGTACAATGAGCAGCAATGCACAAAACGACCTATTCAAGTCTACTCCACCCTCGTCTGAGCTTCCTTCTAGGCTGTGCAGTCCAAAGGAACAGGGCAGGCCTCATCTGTCTAGACAAAATCATTCCTCAACCTCCAGTTCAAAAAAATCTTTCCAAGTGGCATTAACCAACTGACATAAGGGCAAACACAGAATGTGATTGCACTCTGTGTTTGCAGAGACACAGAATGCCACTTGTCAGACAGCTGCCCCTTGGGGCAGACTGGGAAATCAGCCTGGGAGGTGCTTTTCCCCCTGCTTTGTCCCCAGAAAGGGGGACCAAACAATCTACAAGATGAAAGGATACTGGCTTCCCTTGTTCTTAAGGCCAAGCCCAGCTATCAAAACTGACTTTCAGTACATGGATATCTTGCAACTACTCCCCTACAGCACGAGGACGTGTTGGGAATGGCTCTTTCACTACAAAGATGTGGGGGGTTCTTTTTGTGGGGGCCTTCTCCACACAGGGCTCAGGGCCTCCTCGTGGGTGGGTGTCCCACGTGACCTGCCACATTCAGCACAGAGCATCTTCTCCAGGCGCAGCACTCACTCTGGGTCAGGGTGACCGTGGTGGCCGAGGCGGTGATGGGGATCTCGGTACCGTCACCGGCACTGCAGTCCCCACTCGGCAAACTGATGATGGTGGCTTCTCCCAGCAGGTTGCAGATGCGTTGCTGCATGGGGGTGAGGATAACGGGGGCGGCCGCGGCACCCGTCGGGTCTTCGCCCTCCGGCCCGTTGCCGTTGCTGTTCTGGCTCTCGCCTCCCCCCTCCATGGCGGCCCGGACCTGGGCCACTTTCCGTCGCACCTCGGTCTTGAGGTCAGACCATTTCTTCTTGACCTCGGGCAGCTCACGGTGGCAGGTGGCGACGGCGTTGACGCGGCGCAGGATGTCGTGCCAGGCGGCGGCCTTGGCCGCCAGAGGCACGCCCGCGTTGAAGTGGTTGATGAGGAGGTGCTTGCCGCGCTCCAGCTCCTCCACGATGATTTCCACCTCCCGCTCCGAGAAGTTCATCTT